CCTGGGTGGCTCAGTCGGTGAAGCGGCTGCCTTTGGCTCAGGTCATGATCGTGGGGTCCTGGGACTGAATCCCGGAACGGGCTCCCTGCTCAGCAGGGAGTCTGCTTCTCCTGCCCCCTGTGCCCCCACCCCTGCTCATGCTCTCTCTAAAAAATAAATAAAAATTAAAAAAAAAAGAAAATCCATGGCATTTTTAAGTGGCTTTGCTTTATGTGGAATTTTCCCCAGTGCCAAGTGCCTTGGTTAAAGATGGCCTCTAGGGCGGGGCAAAAGTCTAACTCAGGGACCCTGCCATGCCCATGATAACCTTCCTCCTGGGAGTGAAGTCTGAGAGCAGCAACATGGAGGAGATGGAATAGGAGCAGGTGTTGATGGGGAAAAGGCCTTAAGGGGCATGTCCCTGAGGGGATGGTACCTTTAAGGGGTCACGGTCTGGCCCTCAGATTCACTGGGCTGGCAACTCCATCTTAACAGTATCCTGTAAGTGAATGAAAGTGGAGAGGTTGACTCAGGCCCACTTCACATATAAGTGGAAGATAATGGTTAGTGTTTATTGATCATTGGCAACATAGCCAGCATGTGCTAAGTTCATCCATTCATTCAGTAATCATTCACTGAACTCCTGATATGTGCTGACCACTGTGATACAGCAGCCAAGGCAACGAACAGGCTCCTGACCGGAGAAAGCTCACATTCTAGTGGCAGAAGGGGACATTAATAAACAAATGAGCAACAGTTTAATAGGTCAGATGAATTTAGTGCTATAGAAAAAGCTCAAGAAATATGGATGGAAGAAGGGAGTCTCCAAGTGAAGTCACCAGTCGAAGATCACATGGCTAGGACTTAAACCCAAGGCTCCAACACTCAGAGGTCTTTATCATTCATTCACCCATTTATTTTATTTATTCAACAAATATTTACTGAACATCTCTGTGTTAAGAATTACGTCCATCGGGGCACCTGGGTAGCTCAGTGGGTTAAGCCTCTGCCTTCGGCTCAGGTCATAATCTCAGGGTCCTGGGATCGAGCCCCGCATCGGGCTCTCTGCTCAGGAGGGAGCCTGCTTCCCCCTCTCTCTGCCTGCCTCTCTGCCTACTTGTGATCATCTCTGTGTCAAATAAATAAAATCTTAAAAAAAAAAAAAAAAGAGAACTGCTTCTGTCCTGGCATGTTCTCAGCCACAGCACAGCAAAAGAGATAAAGGCTGGATTCCACCTCCCCGCAGGAGGGACAGGTGTCGAGATAACCCGCATTCGCCTAGGCCCCGCCCTCAAAAGAAACCAGGGATGACGTAGTGCCAAGGAGGGGCATCTGTCAAACTCCTCACTAGCTCCGCCCACCTCGGTCGTAGTCACGACCACCAAGAGCCAACAAGTGGCTTACAGGGGTCGCAAGGGCAGGCCAGTTATCCCGGCCACCAGAAGTTTCTTTCATCCAGACCCCTGTCCCCGGGGACTCTGTCTCCCACAAAAGATCGTGCAGACGGCATAGGCACCACTACTGGACTGCGGTCAGTGGATCGGGAGACCTCCCCCTGCTCCGCCTCACCTTCCCCTCACCTCTGGACTCCGTGACCGGGATAGGGAGCCAGACGGCTGCGGCCCAATTCTCCTACCCTTCCCAAAGAGTAGGACTCACCTTTGTCCTACGCAAACTTCCGGATGGCGGAAAGCGCTGCGCGCGCATCCTCCACCTGGAGGTAGGACAGCGCCCGCGCAGGCGCTGCTGACAACCAGATGGCCCTCGGGCTGTGCGGGGGAGAGATTATTTCCTCATCGTTCACCCCCATTCCACCCTCTTTTGGAAGTGTCCTCGTTCTATTGCGCATGTGCCAACCTGGAGCCAATCATAAGGAGGGATGAAGTATGAGGCATCTCTCCGCCTATCAGAGAAAGGCCATATTATCATTTTCCCACCTCAACTCCGCCCCTTACGTCCAAGCGTCTTTTCAGGAACTGCCCTCTCAACGCGTTCCCATGGCAATCCTCGGTCGCCTTCGGGCCCGAGTGCGCTGATTAGGTGGTCCTTCAACAGTGTAAAAACTGAACTACAATACCCACAGGCCACCTAGCCCCGATTTTGTTTCTATTCTATTTCCCAGAGTGCTCAGCGGAACCTCTAAGGCCAAGAAGCGGGTGGAGATAGGAAGACCAGGGAAGGAGCTCGCACAGTCTTCTGGGAAACGGAGTCTTCGAGCTGGTGCGGAGTCTCCTCAGTGGAGTAGTTTGAGGAAATTCACGCGGCGCCGGAAGTGGTTATGAGGCACGAGTGAGAGGAGTTGGGTCGGCGTCTCCCTCCGGGCGGGAGTCGCGTCTGTTAATCCGGCGGAGCAGTCTTCCAGGTGAGGAGACGCCGAGGCTGGTGTCGCTGAGTACTCCGGACGCTTGGGCGTTCGGTCCTTCCTGAAGGGTGACGGAACCCTCACGGGGCGATTTCGGCAAAGGGTGCGCCGTCTTGGACCGTAAGGTGTCTAGATAGGGTCTTGAAGGCTGTCGGTTCAGAGCCTGTTCTGGGTCGGGCTCTCGCTGAAACAGAGGAGCGGTTAAATTTTTATTTTACTTTTGATTGAGGAGTCTGAGGCCGAAGGAGGCGTTGAGTTGCCCAAAGTTGAAGCGGGGCAGATCTCGAGGGACGAATGAATGGGAGTTCTTCAGGAGGTCTCACTGCTTCACATTTGAGCGCGCCTGCTGCGTGCCAGGCGCCGCGCTGTTCTCGGATTTCCCCCTGGGATCTCTGCAACTGTTCCAAGGGCAGCTCCTCGCTTTTATCGGCTCCCTTGGAAGCGTCTCGGGAATCACAGTTTTTCAGAGCTTAGAAAGTTAATAGGGTGCATATTTCATAGTTAGGCATACCCCAGAGGGATCTGGCACAATTCTTGGAAATTGATTATTTCTGCTGGGAAAGGCGTGTATCTTCACACTATGGGCAGCATGTGGCTATTCGGGTTCTGTTTTGCTGTCGGTTTATGAATAAAGTTCTGGTTTTCAGAACTCTTTTTGGTTTTTAGAATTACAGATAGGGCACTGTGGATCTTATAATTTGTCCCATTTTGTGCACGTGGTAACCAGACGCAGAGAGCATGAATGATCTAGATCTAGCCATGGCCCCACATTAAGAAGAAGCAAGACTTCCTAACTCCAGGGCCCAAGATTTTTCAGTCCTGTAGTTGTTTGGCTCAAGTTATTCTGACAGGCTGGGTGACCTTGAGCTTCACAGTCAGGCTCCAGTTTCTTCTGTCCCAGGGCTTAGAGTGTATGAGATATGGACAGACGTGATGTGAAAACTGTAGACAGGTCTCAAACTCAGATGTCTCTGAGAGTCAGACAGATAAGTTAAAGGAGAGAATCCAACTGGAGGAGGACTGTGGGGGCATCAGGGAGCATGTGCCCCATCTAAGGGAGATAGCTTTAAATAGGTACCAACAGACAGCTAAGTGGGCCAAATCCTAGGAATTTTTGGAAACTGGAAATAGAATTTTTTTAATTTATTTATTTGACAGACAGAGATCACAGGTAGGCAGAGAGGCAGGCAGAGAGAGAGGAAGGGAAGCAGGCTCCCTGCTGAGCAGAGAGCCCGATGCGGGGCTCGATCCCAGGACCCTGGGATCATGACCTGAGCTGAAGGCAGCGGCTTAACCCACTGAGCCACCCAGGCGCCCTGGAAATAGAATTTTTAAGCGAAATTTCCCAGTTTTCAAGTTTGAGACTACGTAATTTTCTTTCAAAACCTATCTGCCAACACTGTGGGCAAAAAAACCACATCTGTGGACCAAATTGTACTTAGAAGTTGAGACTTAACCTCCGTCATGTGAGGAAAACCACTGATGAGTAAATGTTAGCACTTACAAGTCTGCTACTTTGCCTTATCTGCAATCAAAATCTGGAAAGCCCTGGAGATCATTTTTTTCCATAAATTTGGTATCTGCTGATTGGAACTGCTAAGAGTTACAACCTTTAATTATCTTACCTAGAGTGAATATTTATACCCTTCATACGAAATAACGATGTGTTCAATTACCAAATGCTGCCCATCCCACACTGCACTGTGAAATTTAATGAAATATATTGTATATATGGTATATCACCTTCTAAAAAAATCTGAACATTTCTGAACTTTGAAGCACAGCTGGGCCCAGAGGCTTAAGACTTGTGGGCCCATCATTAAGTCCTGCTGCTTTGTGACTGGGGAGTGTTTTCATCACTCCACAGATACGTGCCAACTAGAAAGGTCACAGTGGCTACCGATATGTAAAAAGCCCTATGCTACAGTATTTTGTATATTATGGGTCATGAAAATAGCTTGGCAGTGGCCATAATATATATATATATATTATATATATTTATTATATATAATATATAATATATATTATATATAATATATATTATATATATTTTTTTAATGAAGTAAAATAGAAAAGATCCTGGTATATTTTACTATATAGGATTCAGTATTATTTTATGAAGCTTTTGTTCAGTTATGCGTGTGAATGAGTAGTAATGGTATATATTGTCTTTGTTCCTGTGGGTCATGGTTAAAAAAAAAAAGTTGGAGAAATCTTGCTATTGTAGAATAGCCAGTTTTGGAGGCCAACTCATCTGGACTTATATCCTAGAGATGGTCATTAGAAATCCCAGAAGGGTCATCCCAGGGGTTCAATTAGACTTTGCGTTCTGTCAAAAAACACGTAGAAAGTATTTACTGTGCTGGGCCTGAGACACCATAGTGAGCGAGACAGGAGGTCCCATCACCTTAATCGAAGGTCCCACCACCATAATCGGCATCTCTCCCAAACATGCACCCGGACTCTAACAAGTGCCAAGGATGGTCACGAAGTCGCTTTGTAGGCTCTGAAGCACAGTGGAAATGGGGGGCTGGGGGAGTTTCAATAAGTACAAAATGATTGTTGTGATTCCTGCAGGGAGACTCACATTCTGCCTGGTCCTCCTACTTCCGGACATTTTGGGGCTCATCCAGCATGGCCAGGGAGTCAGCCCTCAGAGGAAGGGAGACTTTGCCCCAGTTCCCTTATGCCCCCTGCAGCCCTGCCAGTGGGGAACGTGGAGGAAAAGGAGAGGGAGCTTGAACAAGACTTCCAGCTGTTGGGCCCTAGTTGGCTGTGACTGAGGTGAGTTGAGGGCCCCTCCATCCTAATTGGTCATCCCCAGAGCCTGCACAGCTGGCCTGCCTTTATTCTAGGCTCATTTTCCTCTGGTGGCCCCCAAGTGATCCTCTTGTTATACTGTCACTCCCCTGTGGATTCCTTCCAGGAATCCTTGCTGCTTATAGGATGAAATCCACATTTCTCAGCACGATCCTGTCTGATCTGAGTCCCACCCCCTTACAGCATCTTCTCTGCTTCCCTGTGTAACCAGAACTCCCTTCTAAACTCCCTTCTCGGCCTGGTGATAAAACGTTCCACTGTACTTTCCAGATTCCCAGCCTCTGCTCTGGCTCCACCCTCTGTCAGAATACCCTGCCGGCCGTCACTGGCTGGTGAGTCTTCCACAGCCTTCACCTTCTCTGGGCGTCAGCTCTCCCCAGCTCTGCTCTGCTCTCGCATAGCGCCCCCTGCTGCCTCCCCCCAGCACAGGTCCACCCGGATGTGGTTGTCCCTGCCCCTGTCCGGCAGCCCCACCATACACGGTGCTCCTTGGGGACATGTACGGATTGGGACTCACCTCTGGGCCCCCAGGGACCAGCACAGGCCTGGTACACGAGAGTTCTTGAGGTGTTGCTTGAACGATGAATGAAAACCTTCCTCTCCCTGGTAAATACCTGCTTATCCTTAACGGCCCAACTTGAATATCTCACCCGATCAGGAAGCTTTCCCTGCCTCCAGGGCAATGTTCTCATACCCTTTCCCGGCCACAGCCCTGGATACTGCCCTCTGTCACAGCCCTGTCATCTCTTTATGCTCACTATCAGCATCCCTGAGTGTCCCCTCCAGGCCAGGTACCGGGTCTGACACCTCTATGCCTCTAGCCTTCTCAGAGGGTTCTGGCACACAAGAGAATTGACTGTTGAAGGAATGAATGCATGCTCTCACCTTGTCACTGTCCAGTATAAAACTCTTTGTGGTTCCCTAGTGCCCCATGGATCAAGGCCAGGGTCTTCCCACATCCTCCATCACCATTTCAGGGGTGCTGCTGTCCCTCGAGGTCGAGGAGTCCAGGAAAGGAAGCTACTTGGGACTCTCTAATCGGGCGCCTGCTGAGAAAATCTCTTTGGCTAATCCCTTCCAACAGGGTAGAGATACCAACAGTTTCAGCTACAAATAAGAGAACACTTGACTCAACCCAGTTTAAACAGCCAGCAGATTCTAGCGCACATAACTGGAAAGGCCAGCGCGGGTGCTGGCTTGATCCGCCAGCTCACCCGGTGTGATCAGGACCCAGTTTATTGTTGCCATCTCTGAACCCCACTATCTGTCGTCTCCGTCCTTGTCCCGAAACAGGACTGCAAGCTCCCACATGCCTCCTCTGGGTGGGCTTTGTTCCAGGCGCTGTATCTACACACTAGGGAACTGGCGGATGTGGTCCCTGCCGTCCTGTAGCTCACATGTTATGGGGGGGTGTGGTGAGAGCGGGACTGTTTGTGAGGGCTGCTGTAAGAAACTGCCTTGAACAACAGAAATTTATTGTCTTAGTTCTGGAGGCTAGAAGTCTAAGTCAGGGTGTCAGCAGGGCTCCTTTGTTTCGGAGGCTGCAGGGGAGAATCCCTTCCATGCCTCTTGCAGCTTCTAGAGGGGCCTGTGTTCCCTTGACTCGTGGTCACATCCCTCTGACCTCTGCTTCCGTCATCACCTTGCCTTCTCCCTCCTTGGACTCCTTCTGCCCTTCATAAGGATATTGGTCCTGACACTTAGGGCCCACATCGATCATCTGGGAGAAACTCCCCATCTTAGGACCCTTAAACTGTCACACCTGTAAAGTCCTTTTTGCCATACAAGGTAACAGCTGTGAGTTCTGGGGATTAGAACGTGGATGTCTTTAGGGGATCATTATGTCTAAGGTCTAAAAGGGTATCTCAAACTTAACTTGTACCAAACCAAACTCAGACTCTGCCCTGAAACCTGCTTCTCTCACATCTCCAGAAGCTACAACTCTGTCCTTCCAGCTGCTCAGGCTAAAATCTTAGCGATATCTGGGTCCCTCTCTTTCACTTGCTATATTTGATCTCTTGGGAAATGTCAGCACCGTCATCAAAATGTCTACATCTCACCCTCCCCCATTCCTGTCTCATTTCTCACCTGGATCATGGAGTTTGTCCTTTTGCTGGTCTCCCTGCCTTTGCCCTTCCACCTTTGAACATTTTCCAGGAGGAGAAACCTGTTGAGAATATGCTTCATTAATATGCTTAATTTTTGAGAAATCTTCCTGTTGTATTTTTAAAATTTAATTTAATTTTTAAATTTATTTTATTTTTATTTATTTATTTTTTAAAGATTTTATTTATTGTTTATTTGACAGACAGAGGTCACAAGTAGGCAGAGAGGCAGGCATAGAGAGAGGGGGAAGCAGGCTCCCTGCTGAGCAGAGAGCCCGATGCGGGGCTCGATCCCAGGACCCTGAGATCACGACCTGAGCTGAAGGCAGAGGCTTTAACCCACTGAGCCACCCAGGCGCCCCTATTTTTATTTTTTTAAGTAGGCTTTACACCCAGCATGGAGCCCACCATGGGGCCTGGACTCATGACCCTGAAATCAAGACCTGAATTGAGATCAAGAGTCAGATGCTCAACCGACTGAGCCACCAAGGTGTCCCGAAATCTTTGTTGTAAAATAAAGCACAAATGCAGAAACCCATGCACGTCAAATGAATGACTTAGTGAAGGCAAACACCAACCGGGTTAAGAGTGAGATCTTGGCCATCCTGGAGGCCCTCAGTGGGCTATATCCCAGCCTTCTTGTGTCCCCATAAATAACCTGACTTTTGTAGTCATCATTTCCTTTAGAGAAGTTGGTGTGGGGGGGAGGTGGGGAGAGGCAGAGGGAGAAAGAGAATCTCAAGCAGACCCCATGCCCAGCACGAAGCCCAATGCTGGACTCCATCCCACCACCCTGAGATCATGACCTGAGTGCAAATCAAGACCAGACACCCAACTGACTGAGCCACCGAGGCGCTCCTTCCTTCTGGTTTTTTGAACAATAGTTTTATCACCCAAATGCATGTCCCTGTTGCCCCATCTCTTTTTTTAATGCTTTTTTGCGGGGGGTTTCTTAACATACAGGTTCCTCCTCTGTCCTGTTCTGTTCTTAGTAGTTTGTCCATTGAAGAACCAGGGCTGTTTGGCCTGTAGAATTTCTCCCAGTCTGGTTTTTTTTTTTTGCTGGTTACATACTTTTGCTGCCATTCAGCGCGCTCTCAGTTGGTGGAGGGATTCAGAGGCTTGATCAGTCTCAGCTAATCCTTTTGGCAGACACACTTATGCTCCCATCTCTGCATTCCTCATGGCTTGTGAGATGGTGGTGCTCTAATTCCCTCGTTCCTTTTCATTAGTTGGAATACTCTTATAAAAAGATAGCTCCCTGGGGGCGCCTTGGTTAGGCGTCTGACTCTTGGTTTCAGCTCAGGTCATGATCTCAGGGTTGTGAGATCGAGCCCTGCATTGGACTCTGCCCTGAGCGTGGAGTCTGCTTGAGATTCTCTCTCTCCCTCTCTTTGGCCCCTCCCCCGCTGCATACACACACACTCTCTCTCTTAAAACAAAGATACCGCCTTTCATCTTCTATTTGGTAACCCACTGATACAGTTCATATAGCAGAGGTGGGATAAATGCTTGATTCTTTCCTCTTATTTACCAATTTTCAATATAAGATCAGTTCCTTACTATCATTCTCTGAAGATGAGCATTTTTTTTTTAACATACCCACGTGTGTGTGTTGACTGTTAATTCTTAAGAGTTTTACAAAGCATTTTCCACAAATATCAGTAGGACTCACCCAGACTAAATCCCGTAAGGACTAGACTTCTCTGCTGGGTGCCTGGCATGAGGCAGGCTTGGAGCAGGTGCCCAGTGGTCCCTGGCCGATGGGTGGTGCTGTGCAGACAGGCCTTGGCTCACTTCATCCCCACAGCAGCTGTATTTTAGAGATGAGGAAACACGGCCTTAGAGGTATGGAATAACAAGATCCCACGGTTCATAAATAGCAGAACCAGAATTGGATCTGAGGGTCTGACAGACTACAGAGTCATGCCTCTAACTGGTTGGCATCCTAGGGTCATGCCGATGGGGCTCTTGCTCCTTTGCCCCCACTTAGAGAATGTGTGATTTTGGGCAGGTGAATTTAATTCTCTGGGTCTCAGTCTTTTGTAAACGGGATAATCCAGCTTTCAAGGAGGTGGTGAATGAGGACTCCTGGATGAGACATGTGATGGGGATGGAGAGGCGTGGAACTGTCCTTTGGTTCCTTTGCTTGGGTCCTTCCTACGTGGTAGGAGGACTTGGTCACTTCTTGGAGTAGCCCTATGCCATGGGGCTCATTAGTCCCATTTTACTAATGGGGTAGGAATCAGGGTTCAGAAGGGGCATGTGACTTACTTGCCAGTGGTCATCCAGAGGGGAAGGTAGTGGGGCCAAGTGCCAAGCCCAGCTAGAGACTTGGGTTCCGTTCTCAGGTAAAACATCCCTGTAGGGGCACCTGGGTGGTATAGTCACTTAAGCTTCCGACTCTTGGTTTCGGCTCAGCTCATGATCTCAGACCGAGCTCTGTGTCGGCCTCTGGTCTCAGCGTGGAGTTTGCTTGACAGTCTCTCTTCCTTTCTTTCTGCTCCTTCCCCTCATGCTTTCTCTCTCTCAAATGAATAAATCTTAAAAAAAACAAAAAAACAAAAAACAAAACCATGCCTATGTGTGCATTGATAGCAGTCTGGAGGGAGCACACCACAGAGCCTTGGGTCTTCCTGGAGATGGGGTGCTTGGCAGAAGGCTGGCACTTTTTTAAAAAAAGATTTTATTTATGTATTTGAGAGAGAGAGAGAGGGTTGAGAGACAGAGGGAGAAGCAGACTCCCTGCTGAGCAGGGAGCCTGATGCGGGGCTCGATCTCAGGACCCTGAGATCATGACCTGAGCCCAAGGCAGACACTTAATCCACTGAGCCACCCAGGGCCCCAAGGCTGGCACTTTATTGTCAATACTTCTCGAATATTGGAGGGTTTATTCTAAGTCCCTATTCACTAGGAAGTTTTCAAATTAAGAAAGATGGTGTCACTTAGAGTTGGATGTTCGGGCGCCTCAAAATGGACCCAGCACTACCTCTGAGGGCTCTTGCTCCCCCTCACAAGTCATCTGAATCTAATCAGGCCGCTTGCCACACAGTTTCCAGAGATGCAGTGGGGAGAGTATCAGCCAAATGACAGCAAGAGGAATTGTCACATCTATAATGGGGGACCTTCAGTCAGGATGGTGGAGGGCAAGGGCCGCTTTGGCTTCTGATGCCAACAAGCCAGAAAAACATACAGTCAGACCCAGAGCGGTCAAATCATCGAGACTGAAACACATATGGTGGTGCCAGGGGGTGGGGTGGGGGTGGGGAGATGGTGGTTAAAGGGGACAGAGTTGGGACGCCTGGGTGGCTCAGTCGGTTAAGCCGCTGCCTTCGGCTTAGGTCGTGATCCCTGGGTCCTGGGATCCAGTCCCGCATCAGGCTCCCTGCTCATCGGGGAGCCTTTTTCTCTCTCTGCCTCTGCCTGCCACTCTGCCTGCTTGTGCTCTCTGACAAATGAATAAATGAATAAAATCTTAAAAAAAAATAAAGGGGACAGAGTTTCCAGTTCTGCAAGACTAAGTAAGTTCTGGTGATGGCCTCATAATGTGAGCGTTTAATGCCACTGGATGAAGTGGCACTTTGGTGTTGTGGGTTTTTTTTGTTTTTGTTTGTTTGTTGTTGTTTTTAACCAATTAAAAAATGAAAAAACCACCACTGAGATGTTAGACAAATCTGCATTCAGACTTTGAGTATGGTCTAGGTAGTCAGTGATTAAGGAGTTCTATTGTAAATATTTAAGTATTCACAGGGGAAATCAGATCCTGCCTGGGATTCATTTTGAAATATTTTGCTCCCCCTCCCCCCTAAACCTTTAATGAACAAAACAGACCAATCTTAACAGGGTTTGAAGTTGGGTGATAGGTACATGGAAGTCTGTTACCTGCAAATCTCTACTTCTGTATTTGTTTGAAAATTTCCATAAGAACTTAAAATTTTGAAGGAACAATCAAAAGCAAGAGCCCCAGTAAGTAGATTTAAGCAACAGGCAGCTTTAAGTGGATTTAAGTCCTGCCTGTGTGACCTTGAGGGGATCTCACGTCCCCTCTCCAAGACTCCATATCTCACCTATAAAATATGGGGATGCCCCAGTCTCTTAAGTCTCAGGCTTCTTAGGAGATGATTTTTGTCAAAGGCCTGGTACGTTGAGAGCGGGGTGCATGGAGTAAGCCATTCGGTCCCTCCCTGACTCCAGTCCCGGTGTCACTGACGGTGTGTCACATTTCAGGAATTTGCACCTCTTGGGGATGCAGCCATGGACTTCACCTTGGACTGGGAGCACCTAGGGCTGGACCAGGGGAACCTGTTCTGGGACACAGCGCTGGACAACTACCAGAACCTTTTCCTTCTAAGTGAGTGTCCCCTCCAGCTCTGGGGGCCCAGTCACTGCCCTGCCCAGTGGCTCCTGTCCCCCAGGATAAACTCCTGGCTCCTGAGCACCAGGGAACCAGCATGACGTGGCCCAACAGTGCTCAGCCGGGTGGTTCTGGCCACAACCCCCACTCCGGGAACATTGGCAATGCCCTTGCTAATTGTCGGCCCTTGGGAGTGGGGGGTGTGCCCAGGCTCACTGCCACACGTCCTGGAATGCAAGGACAGTCCCTACAGCTGAGGATTATCCAACCCCAAATGTCAGGAGGTTGAGAGACCCCGATTGGCCTCCACCTGCCCCTCTGGCCTCGTCAGCACTTTTCTCTTTGTCCTTGTTGAGCTGACACACAGGGTCCTCTCATCTGCCTTCCCCTCTGCTAGACTCATCCCCTCGCTGCCCCCAGGACGGCCTGTGAGCAAGTCCTCTTCTGTCTTCTGCTCTGCTCGCCCACCTCCCCTGCACTTGCTAACTGCTCCCCGATGCTCTGTCTCCTGAAGCTGGGATGGGTACTCCCCGAGGGCGGGAGGACTCAACATGTTGTCATACTCCTAGCAATGACATGGGACAGAGAAAGGACCCAGCACAGGCGGCCCAGGGGAAACCAGAGCCAGCTCCCAGAGCCTTCTGCCTGTGGACTCCCACAGGATGCTTACCGAGGTGACAGCACCTGTGAAATGTCTACCAGGAAACGCACGTTAAGGAGACCCAGCTCCCATAGTCTTTATTTGGGGGCTGGTCACAGACGCGTCCTCTACCTGGAACATGACAGGATTTTAGACTTCCAGCAGGAGAGCAGAGGTTCAGCATGACCGTGGAGGCACAGCTCATCTTAGTTCGGGAGATCGGGCACCCACCTCCAGTCCAGGTTCCCAGACACCAGCACGGGCCAGCCTTGCAGATTTTCTCTCAGCTCCGCTCGATGTGTGTGACACAAGCAGCTTGGCTCAGACCTCCGCGTCTTTTCTGTTTTTAAACTAGGGCCCCCGGTAAAGGCACGTTTCCCTTGACTCCCTCGTGTGCGTGTGTGCGTGTCTGAGTGGCGTACTCGCTTCCTGTGGCTGCTCCTCCTGCCACGGACACCGCAGTGAGACAGTTCTTACGGTTCTGGAGCTTGGAAGTACAAAACGGGTCTAACTGGGCGAAGACCAGGGTGTTGGCAGGGCTCGATCCTCTGGGAGGCTCCAGGGAAGGGTGTTTCTTTGCCCCTTTTCAGCTTCTAGAGGCGCCTGCATTGCGTGGCTCACAGCCCTTTCGTTTCAAGCCAGGAGGGGCTTTTCCTCCACTGTAGCATGGTCCCCCCTGGTATTATGACTCTGCTCCCTTCCTTGAACAGTCTGCAGAGGGCAGAGCACGGGGCCGACTGGTCCGTGGGAACCCAGCATGCTCCATCCTGGCCCGGCCCACAGAGGCCTCGGGTGATGTGCACTCCCTGGTGAATGCGGGAGCCACGGACGGCGGCGTAAGTACGAGCCTCTCTCCACCTGGCAGACTGCTCATTCCTCAAGAGCTGCGGCAGGTCCTTTGTATCGCCAGCCCCGGCTGTCACAGCTCTGATCGCCCTGGATTGTGACTGGGTCCCTCTCCTCCACCGGACTGGGAACCCAGCAGGGCAGGTGTCCCTGGAGTCACTCAGTGCCATGTCTGGCCCTCAGGAGCAGTGTGCTGAATAAAGCACTGGCTGGGCAGGACAGTCAGAAGGTTCCCACTATGCAGCCGGCTGGCCCTCTGTGTCTTGGTGGATGACGGTGCTCTTCTCTGCCTGCAGACCCTTCCAAACCCAAACTGACCTCCCAGCCAGATGGCGCCGAAGAGCAGAAGGTGCTGGAGAGAGAAGGCCCAGAATCAGCGGGCCCCAGTGAGTGGGCAGGGACGGGAGGGCGGTGGGCCTGTGGGACCTGGCCCTTTGTGTGCCACCCATCTTTGGAACTTCCGGCAGACCCAGAACGTTTATCCAGACATCTTGACCCTGGGCTGATGAGTGCCGCTCTGCTGTGTGCTGGCTTCTGTCCGCTTGTCCTGGTGGGTTGGGACCCTCCCTCTGCGGACCTGTCTTATCTCCGTCTCCATCAGTGCTCAGCATGCGGCTGTCTGGTGGCTTTCTTTTGTTCCCTCTTTGGTCCTTTCAGGCCCTGAGTTAGTCTGTCCACCTTCCTGCCGTGTGCCCCTTGAGGCCTGCGAACCCCCAGTCTGTTTCACCCCTCTTTGTACAGGTCTGCCCCACACGGCACGGTGGGTGGCTGCATCTGGGAATAAGCAAGCCCAGGCCTAGAGGCAGCCCAGAACATTTGTTCGGGTCTCCCCTAGGCCACAGCTCCTTTGGGGGGGAGCAGGTTAGGCATTGAGGCTGTTAGCCTTGTCGAGATGTCCCCAGTGGGAAAAGGCAGAGGCAGGGGCCTTGCCTGGGGCACAGAAGGCTTTTCTCATGGTCACATCATTCACATAAGAAGGGCCCCTGAATCAGAGACCACAGGGTAGTGGCCGCATGGCTCAGTCTCGGCCTCCACCACCCAGTCAGGATGCAGCTCTGTTCTTGGCTCACTGCTTGTGAGCTCATGAGCTCGGGCCCTCTGTAGCCTTCTTTTTTTTTTTTTTTTTTTTTTAAAGTTTTTATTTATTTGTCAGAGAGAGAGGGAGAGAGAGCGAGCACAGGCAGACAGAATGGCAGGCAGAGGCAGAGGGAGAAGCAGGCTCCCCGCCAAGCAAGGAGCCCGATGCGGGACTTGATCCCAGGACGCCGGGACCATGACCTGAGCCGAAGGCAGCTGCCCAACCAACTGAGCCACCCAGGTGTCCCCTGTAGCCTCCTTTTGAGTGCACCAGTGTTTATACAGAGGTGACTGGCCCAGGCACAGAATCCCAGTACCTTAACAATATACGCTGTTTCCAAGCCTGTGTAGTCGTGCCTTTGCCAACCACATCTGTCCTCCAGTGGTAATAACTGTACTGCATTATTATCATCTGTATCTCCTGCCCCTTCTCCAGGAAGCAGGCCATAGCAGATGGGGGTGGTGGCAGAGACTATCTGCTGAAAGGCTCCCGTTCCCAGGGGGAACCCCGTGGTTGCCCAGTTCCCCGCTTAACTGTCCTGGAAGCTATTAAGTTATTAAGAAATAAATCTTTATTTCCTGTGATGCCGGTTCCAGCCAGGTCACCACTTTGGCCCCTTCTCCTTCATTGCCTTGAGGACAGGCTTACCGGGGAGCCATCACCCGTTCTCCCTCTTGTCTGTGTTCTCACCCTGCACCTCCTGACATTTTTTTACCCCAGGGAATGGGAGACATTTGCATTTTACCTCTCTTTCAGACCCGGCTGAGATCAAGAACTGTTTTCTGGGCCAAGACTTCTTGGAAGAAGGACTCTCCAAGGAGATCATGGAGACGTTTTCCGAGGATGGCCTCTGGAACTCCAGTTGGGGGAAAGCCTGTGTAGGCGAGAGTTGGTTAGATAGTTTCCTAGGAGATCCAGAAAGTTTTCTGAGGTCTGACTTTGTTACCAACAAGGAAAGTCCCATAGAAGGCAGGAGTCACGATCTCAAGGGAGATCTCGGTCCTGAGTCCCTCCTTTCCACAGGAGAGGATTCTGTGATACACGATCTTCCTGAAAAGAGCCCGGCACCAGCTACATCTCTGGAACACGGGAATGACTTTGGCTGTGGCTTAGACCAGAGCCGACAGGAGACTGTCCAGGAAGAGGAGAAACTGTATAAATGTAGTGAATGTGGGAAGAGCTTTGACCAGAGTTACCACCTTATCCAGCACTGGATTATTCATACTAGAGAGAAACCCACTGTGCATCAAGAGTATGAGGAAGGTTTCAGCCAGAGTTCTTGCCTCTTTGTGCCTCTGATGACTCATACAGGCTACAAATCCCACGTGTCTACCAAGTATGGGAAGACTTCCAGTCAGAATATACACCACCTGTGGCATCAGAAAAGTCACTCTGGAGAAAAGCCACCTAAGAATGAAGATAGTGACCAACCGTCGGATCTCAGCTTACAGCTTGCTGAGCATCAGAAAACCCACACAGGGAGTCAGTCCTACAGATGCAGTGAGTGTGGCAAGAGTTTCAGCCAAACCTTTCACCTTACGCAGCATCAGAAGACCCACACCCAGAAACGCTATGAATGTGCCAAATGCAAGGCGTCCTTCAACTTCCGTAAATACCTCCTCCGACACCAGAAAATCCATGCTGCAAACACTCCCGCTGAGTGTCAGGAGGGCGGGAAGGTCTTCAGGCGGAGCTTGCTGCTCGCCAAACACCAGTCTGTTCACACTGGAGAAAAGCCTTACAAGTGTGATCAGTGTGGGAAACCCTTCAGGAATATCTCAACCCTAAAGATCCACCAGAGGGTTCACAGTGGAGAGAAGCCTTACAAATGCAGTGAGTGTGGGAAAGCCTTCTACCGGAACACTCACCTTAATGAACATCAGAGGATTCACACTGGTTACCGGCCCTACAAATGTCACAAATGCATCAAGAGTTTCAGCCGGCCCTCCCACCTGATTCGACATCAGTCCATCCATGCCACAGAAAAGCCCTACAACTGTGCTAAATGCAAGGAAGCTTTCAGCCACAATGAACACCTTGTCCAACACCAGAAAATGCACAGTGTGGAGACCCCTTATGAATGTCAGGAGTGTGGTGAGCACTTCATCTGCAGCTCCACCCTAACTTGCCACCAGACTGTTCACACCAGAGAAAAACAAGGACTTGGGGAGAGCGGGAGGATCTTGAATCAGGACTCAGAGCAGAGGGAGCAACCAAGGATAGGCGAGAAGCACTTTAAATGTAACAAATGCGAGAAAACCTTTAGCCGCAGCAAATACCTGACTCAACACGAGAGGGTTCACACCAGGGTGAAGCCCTTTGAGTGTAACCAGTGTGGAAAAGCCTTTGGCCAAAGTACACAGCTCATTAGCCACCAGAGCATCCACTCTGGGGCAAGGCGGTATGAACGTGGGAACTGTGGGAAGACCTTCATCCACAGCACTTCCCTCACCAAACATCAGTCTGTCCACAAGAGTGAGCACCCCTTTAAATGTAATGAATGTGGAAAGACCTTCAGTGAGAGCGCACATCTTTCAGAACATTGGTTAATCCACACTGCAGAGAAACTCTTCCAGTTTAACAAGTGCGACAAAGCCTTTGCCCACGGTAACTACCTTACTGAGGATCAGAGAGGTCATGCTAGAAAGAAGTCCTTTGAGTGTAACGAATGTGGAAAATCATTCCATCAGAGCTCGTGCCTTTCTAAGCATCAGAGAGATCACACAGGTGAGAAACCCCACAAATGCCCAGATTGTGGGAAAACCTTCAGCCTGGGTGCTCAACTCACTCAACACCAGAGAGTTCACACCGGAGAAAAGCCTTATGTTTGTCAGGAATGCGGGAAAGCCTTCAGCCAGAGCTCATGCCTTTCTGTTCACCAGCGAGTTCACACCGGAGAAAAGCCTTATGTTTGTCAGGAATGCGGGAAAGCCTTCAGGCAGCGCTCGTGCCTTTCTGTTCACCAGAGAATTCACACTGGAGAAAAGCCTTATGTTTGTCAGGAATGTGGGAAAGCCTTCAGCCAGAGCTCATGCCTTTCTGTTCACCAGAGAATTCACACTGGGGAGAAGCCTTACGTGTGTGCTGAATGTGGGAAAGCCTTTGCCCAGAAAGCAAATCTGATGCAGCATGAGAGAATTCACACTGGGGAGAAGCCTTATGCCTGTAGGGTATGTGGGAAAGCCTTTGGCCTCAGTGCGCATCTCAGTCAGCACCAGAGAGTTCACACACAAGAGAAACTAGCAGTGTCAACCTCGTCAGCTCTTTGCTGCAGGTCTCAGCAGACATCAGCAAGTTCACACTTACAGGTAACAAGGAGTTTAGAAAGTAACAAGTAGCAATACTTCTTACTACTGGGTGGCAGCAAAGCCCCAGACATCTGAACACAGTTCATCTGAGTCCTAAAGTTGAAATCACATTGTAAGCTCCCTGCCCCCAAATAAATACATCTCTTTATCCATAAAGAGTGATTAGAAAATTTGTACACAAGTTTCATGAAAACACAGTAGTTGAGAACATGGGAATTCAGAGGTAGAGCCAGTTGGCTGATTGAAATCTCAGCTCTGACACCTGCTACCTGAGTGATCCTGGGAGAGTCATGGGACCTCCGAGGGCCTCAGCATCCTCATCTGTAAAATGGGCACAAGACCTACCTCAGAGGGCTGTTGTGAGGATAAATAAATAGATGTAAATAAGCACTTTGAACTGAGTGTCCAGCACATATTGAGTAGCCACCAAATGTGAGCTACAAGTACTTATGAGATACAACGAATATATATATATAGCAATCCTCTATTTACTGCAGTTAATGTTCTTGCTAATACTATGTGGTGGCTTTTATTTTTTTAAAAAGATATTTATTTATTTACTTGTGAGAGAGCATGAGCAGGGAGCCCAACCTGAAATTCGATCCTAGGACCCTGAGATCATGACCTGAGCCAAAGGTAGATGCCCAAATAACTGAGCCACCCAGGTGTGCCTCATTTTTTTTTTAAAGACTTTACTTTTAAGTAGTATCTATACCCAATGTGGGGCTCAAACTCACCACCCTGAGACAAAGAGCCATATGCTCTTCTGATTGAGCCAGGTGCCCTTGTGTCACTCTCATTTTTTTAGATAGTTTTTTTTTAATATTTTATTTTAGAGTGAGTGGGAGGGCGAGGAAGAGAGAATCTGAAGCAGACTCCACACTGACTACAGAGCCTGATGTAGGGCTTGATCCCACAACCCTGAGATCACAACCTGAGCCAAAACCAAGAGTTGGATGGTCAACTAGCTGAGCCATTCAGGTGTCCCATATAGCTTTCATTTTTAAAAGTTTTCTCCAAAATGGCCCTGGCTAAATTTAGTTCCCCAAACCCAGCACCTTGCTCTTTTCTTTAAAAAATGTCTAGGCTTTTCGTTCCCTTTCCTCTGTTGTACTTTCTTAACTAAACCACAGAAGCTAAGAAGAGCATGTAAACTAACACCAAGTAGCTAGAACTTTCCACTCCTCTAACCTCCCAAACCTCCCACTCAGAAGGACACCCTCCCACATATACATGTCACCTCTTCCCATAATTCCCTTCCCCCATTTAAAGTTGGTTATACAGTATGAGACCCAGTTTGCTGTGGGAGTTAGTGGTACTGGAAGCAATAGGATTCATTTGGGAAAGCTGCATTGTATATTGCCACATGGTTCACAGAAGATGTGCTTGATGGTAGAAATTGTGGTATACGGAAATGACAGCTAGAATGTTCTTCATGTACCATTTGTTCAAGCCAGGTGCTTTGTCAGGCTCCAGGGTAGGGAATACCAATGTGGTAAGCCCTGCTCTGGCCTTGAAACTTCTGGAATCAAAGGGAAGTGGATGGCCCCATTTCCACAGAGAGGTACAATTCATTTACAAGGGACATCTTAAAATGCCACATTGCCTCATGTCACAGCAAGTTCTGGGACCATGGAGGAGTGCTAGAGAGCCCAGAGAGGACACCATCCTTCCTGTTGGAACTTCAGGTCAGCTGCTTGCCGGGCCTGTTCTACAGCTGAGACACGTGAAACCACACGGCTCCCTCTTGACACCTTCTCAGCTCTGGGTTTTTGTGTCCCACCCACTGAGTGACCAGTGACAGGTTTCCTGAAGCACAGACAGAATCTAATGAAGACACTGACACTTTGGGTATCTTTCATGTTTTTGGCGCTAAAAAGCTTAGGAGTATGCGCTCTGTGCTCTTGAGCTTTTTAAACCTTGCACCTTGCATTGTTCTGGTTGATTGTTATTGTTGAAACTGGGAACGGACTGGCTGACCACTGGGGCCCACACCACAGTGGGGAACATACTAATTTTCAAATGGCCAGAACAGCGAGCTCGCTGCCTGTGGTCCCCACCCTCCGATCACTGTGTAGTCTCTGCAGTGGGCCTGTTCTCTACCACAGGGGCAGCGCAGAGGCAGGAACTCAAACTGATGAGTGTGTTCAGTGAGAGTTTTGACACTAGAGAGAGAGGCGAGAGGCCCTGTGGAAAATTGGCAGCCCTGCTGGGGGGCAGACTCTGTAACTACTGACCTGTATTGCCGGGGGCCAGTGTGGAAGTGCCCTTCATGTGTGCGTGTTGGTTCTCTGATTAAAGTTTTGTCTAAAAAGTGTTGGTTTCTTCTTTTAGCCTGGTGCCGTGTATCTTACCGGATGCTGGGCACACAAGGGCCTCCATGCCAGCCAAGTGCTTATGTACTGGAGGAAGGCTTCTAAGGGTGAAAACTACCCCTTGAGAGGGGATGGTTATGTCTGTTTCCCCAAGTGTGGTTGGGGCATGGACACCAGGGAGCCACACAATTTCCGCTGGTCCTCAGATACATCGTCAGACACACTTCCTTCTAGTGCGATCCTGACTGAGGAGGAAACATGGACCACATGTCGTTCACTCCTGTCTAGTTACAAAGACCTAGGCCTCAGACTCAGGCAACCATTGCAGCTACAAATTAATTATTTTCCCCTCAGCATTTTAGTTCCTTTCTCCCCCTTTTTCCTTTACTGACAAGAGATACTAGTTTCCCACTCATGGCAATATAGAAAGTCTTCCTTAAAAATAAACCAGTTTAGGGGCACCTTGGGTGGTGTGGATAAGGGCCTGACTCTTGATTTTGGCTCAGGTCATGATCTCAGGGTTCTGAGATCAAGCCCCGTGTCACGCTCCATGCTCACGGCCATGACTCATTACAGCAAAATCATGCAGAGCAAAATCAGCAAAGGGATAAGGCCCATGGGGTGAAGTCCAGGGGAGACCAGTGCCAGCTTCCAGAATCCTCTCCCTATGGAGCCACACAAGTCACATTAATTCCGCCAGCAGTGAGGTGTGACAATGCGTGTGGAATGTTCTCTACCAGGGATGCTCAGTAGAGACCCAGTCATCGCCAGAGTTTGTACTGGTGGCTGGTCCCCTAGACGCCCTTGGCCTGGGATGCATCAAAATTAGAGACTCCCAGAAGGAAAGCAGATGTTCAGCAGCAACCAAAATTAAAAAGTCACCTATTGTGTGATTCCACTTATATGAAACTTCCAGAATAGGTAAATCCATAGAGACAGAAAGCAGATCAGTGGCTGCCAGGGGCAGGGTTGTGGAGAATGGGGAGTAAATGCTTAATAGGGAGGGGGTCTCCTTTTGGGGTGATGTAAATGTCTCAGATCTAGATAGTGGAGATGGTTGCACAACAGCATGGGCTATGTGCCCCATAGAGCAAAGGTGACCCAAAAAACTCAGTATAAAAATAATGACAAGGCCAAACACCCAGGCGAGACCCCTGCACTCTTAAGGACACAAAAATAAGTGGAAGTTTGTTGTTAGGGGCCCATGGCACTCAGTCCTCCCAGGGTTATGTGCCACATCTGTGACAGGCTGCTTGTGAAGAGTGTGGGCCAGGGCCTGGCTCCCATATGTGGCCCAAGATGGGTCAGGCCTGCCCAGGGAGCCGGGCGCCCTTCATGTTTCTGTGAGATGCCCCCCCCCCCATTGTGCCAATGAACTCTCCCATGGTTTTGTCAGAAGAAACCATTAATATTCTCCTGGTCCTGAGACTTGCTACACAGTGGAGACTAAAATCTGCATGTTGTGGGGAGGCTGGGTGGCTCAGTCGGGTAAGCATTTGACTCTTGATTTCAGGTTAGGTTAGGATCTCAGGGCTGTGGGATCAAGCCCAGCGTCTGGCCCTGTGCTGCGTGTGGAACCCACTTGGAATTCTCTTTCTCCCTTTCTTCCCTCGGCCCCTCCCATGTTCTCCCTCTCTCTCAAAATAAAAAATTAAATTAAATTAAATTAAAATTTACATGCCCTGAACTCTAGGATGAAATGGACTTATTTCTGGGTTTCAGTTTTAGTCTCCTTTTCTACCTACTAGCAGTGGGACCACTAGTGAGTCACTTGGCTCTTCTGGGCCTTAGTTTCTGCATCTGTGGAGTGGGTGATCCTACAGCCCTTCCCCAAAGGGTTGATGTGCAGTCTTTACACTTCACTGAAGCTGGGCGTTATATTCATAAGACACTGGACTTGGGCTGGACTCTCAAAGTGTGAGCCAGGATGTAAGAGTTCTGACTCAAGCAAACCCTTTGTTGGGGTCCATTTGAGGCAAGTGGTTCAAGTGGCCTTTTATTGGCACTAGCTGTCTTCCTATGCTGTGTGCCCCACAGTGGCTGGGGCTTCTGTCTCATTCTCCTCTGTGTCTCCTGTGCCCAGAACCCCCAGTACACCCCAGGGCCCAACACCCACTGGTCACTGACTGCTCTGTCTTCTTGAGCCCTGGGTGTGGGATGTACCCTGCTCACTGCTCCTCTGACTGGGCTGGGTAAACCCAACATTTGAGGGCCTTTCAGGCAAGACACACCTGAGTTCTGGACATCCACACAGCCCACCAAGCTGCCCCTTCCTCCTCAGAGGTCTCCTTTTATGGAAGGGTAGAGCCCTGAGCCCACAGAGTTGAGGGAAGGAAAGTAGGAAGACCAGCCTGGCCTGCAGTCCCAGGAATGCTCGGTGCCAGATCCCCTTCCTCCATTCCATGCATGCTGGTCTCCGCTGGGCTCCAGCGTTCTCAAGGCTGTTGGCAGCTTCCAGGCTCTGCCTGGTGTCGGTGAGTCCCTGGCCATGAGCCACCTTGGGTCTGAAGGGGTAGGTGCAGGAGTGTACCACGGGACTGGGAGTCAGCCAATCTGCTCTCTGCCTACTTCCTGCCTGTGCGACTTTAGGTAGTATCACCTCTCCATGCCTCAGTTTTCTGCATCTATATAATGGGTATGATATATGTGCTGCTGAAGTGAGCACTAAACAGGTATGAAAGCACACAGGGTAACATGAGGATATCACCAAGCACACAGGTTGTAAGCGCTCCTTAAACGTGTAGTTTCCACATAGTTTCACAACATCCCTCTAAGGTAAGTTTTGCTCAGACTGTTTTGAGACAGAAATGAGACCTCAAAGAGATTGGGTGACTTGTCCAAGGTCTGCCAGGAAACAGCAAACCCATCCACGCCCAGCCTTGAAATTCCATGATCTTACCTGCTTTATTTGTATTTTCTTTCTTTTTTAGAGAAGAGTGTGAGTGGCAGGGGTGGGGGAGAGGAAAAGAGAGAGAGAGAGAGAGAGAGAGAGAGAGAGAGGGAGAATCTCAAGCAAATTCCACATTCAGTGCTGAGCTGGAT